AAGTTATTATTTTTTTAAATTGGATTTTATGATCTCATTTTTTATTTTCAAGGGACATAACAGCCAGTTAAGGGAGAGATATGGGGACAATTCTTTAACCCACCCAGATTTTGATACAGATTTATAGATGGAAGCAGTATTGTCTGATGGATCCGATAAAAATCAGATGTACAGACTCTCCAACACTACGGTCAAGAACTTATAGATAGCCTGTAGTGTCTTAACCATTGGGAATTCACAATCGATATTGAGCACCCAATCTCAGAAGTTTGAGGCATTGCAAGAACACATAGCCCATCTCAGTGAAAAATATGAAAGAATCTTTGTAGATTATGAAGAACTCCGCCAAGTGGTCATGGATTTGAGATCACAAATAAGTGGTACGTGTGCCCTCTTTTTAGCCTTGTAATCCCAAGAACGACCAATCTTCTCCTCTAGCACCATCTTTATTCTAGTTTAATTTTATTTGAACATATAAATTTGTAATGAATATTTGGCTTTTATATTAAGATAATTTATTTTTATATATTTGAATTTTATACAACTTAATTTTTCAATTTTTTCAATAGATTTTTAAAAAATATATATTTTTTAATTATTACGAACGAAGTTACCAACAGACACAATCTGTTGGTATATTTTAAAGAGTTGAAAAAAAATTATTGCATATATCACTTCAACTGTTACATTACCTATGAAATTATTCTGTTGGTATTTTACAGAGGATTGGAAAAAATTACTCTAAATGTTACTATCAATCACCGACGAATTTATTCTATTAGTATATTCTAGCTACTAAAAAAAATTTAGTATATTTTCAGTTTGTAAAATCATTAGGTTTTTTTTTATTGATAGAAATGCCAACAAAAAAGAAATTGATGAATTTTTTTATTCATGAATAAGTTGGTAAAATTCATCTCGATAAAATAATAGAGTAGATACCAATAGAATATTTCATCTATAGAATTATTAAATGTAGTAGCGTTAATGAAAAATATCCATCTAGCTAGGTAAAAAAGGTGTTAATTCAATCAACTTTCCCTAATCTCTCGCTTTTAATATATTCAATTGAGGCTTTCATTTAGAGTTGCCAACCGCACGGTTGGAACGCAATTAAACGAACACTTTTATTCATTTTTTACTCTACCAACTCCTCTTTAATACTAAACATGCTCCTCAATCATCAAATTAATAGTTAGATAACAAAAGCATAGCTTAAACTATTTATTCTATACCAAATTAACTAATTTCAACTTTCAGATACTATATATTCTTAATATGAACATCAATACAATACTGGAAAATGAACCAAAAAAATTAAAGAATCACTCAAATCCGCTCATACATACTATATCTTAAACACAATCTTGTCCAACTAATTAAATCACTTCTGGCTATATGTGGTTCACAAGATATATATTTTGATTAAAACCCAATCTGTGTGTGTGTGTGTGTGGAGCTAGCTAGCCATAATCAGTTAGCTATACATGATCACCTTCGATCTTCAGACTTCTTAGCGGTAGGGGATTGCACTTGCATGCTCTTTGAAGAAGCTGGAGACAACTCACCGCCGGCAGGTAAGTCTTGTAGAGCAGCAAGAATCCGTCGAATGCTAACAGAGCGAGCTGTCTTGAAGCTAGATGATCTCTTATCATGTGTCTTGGAGAAAATATTGGATGATTTTGAAAGGATGAGATAGACCAATCCTTGGACGATGACAAACATCGCCACCTTCAATAACACGTCCCCTAAGCTGCTTTCCATCATATGTCTTTTGCTCTAAGTATACGATAGTTTATCTTGACAAAAATAAGCTGTTGAATCCTTAACTCCAAATGAGCTCATGAAACCATCTATTTATAGTGAGAGGCATCCCTGTTAGAACATCATCCTTGACGGGGCGGCTTACTTTTCAAGCATTCAATAATTTGGCACGCGGGCTTATACTGCTCTTCGTTATCCTTAATCCTTGCCACGCATAGATACGTGCACGATGATAACAAATTGATGTTCGCACAATTGTACGAAGGAAAATTCATGCCACCTAAGAGTAGGACCCTCTTTATCCCTTGTCTTGATAGCAACTTATTGGCCAAAATATACCAAAACTTGTTGTTCTTAAGGTATTACATGGAAGTTGCTGGAAAGAGTGACAGGTATTACATGGAAGTTGCTGGAAAGAGTTGACTGGTCAATCTTGATTTCTAGATCTATATTTATGGTCTACAATTACGGCCCTTAAACATTCACCAACCACCATCATCAGCTGAGAAAATCAGCGATTTCTAATTCTTTGATTATTAATTAAGGATAATTATTAAGTTTAATGGAAAAGTCAACCTTAAAAAAATGAATGCTTAATTAAATTTCTTAAAGAACTGTTCAAACCGGCCATTACTAGGGCCATGAAGAATGACGATTAGATTACTTATACCGCACGAGAGAGCTTGATCTGCTATTATTCAATCTCAACAAAGAAAAACGATGAGTTCCAAAGGGGAAGGTGTTTGCTTTCCAGGGCATTATGTGGCTCCACATCACTTTCTGTTGTCCATTTGCTGGACGTGACTCATTATTTTCAACACTTAGCCATAAGCTGCAGCATAAACTAATGGAATTCCCACACAAGCGCCATCTTAATGCTGCTCAAATACAAATTAACTTGATAGTAATTGTATATCAATCCGTGTTCCTGAATCTTGATGATCATGATCCTTTACTGAAAAGGTTCAAATGATTATTAGACTTTTAACGGAAAAAACAATTGTTAGGTAGGATTTCACTCCAAGTGATAGGAACCAATGATGCTGAATATGTACAGGAGTTTGATTATCACCTTCCTCAGCAGAAGGTAGAGATTGGAAACCAACAGAGCAGAAAGGTTTGCAATTTCTTTTCCCTTACAAGCCCCGTTGCGCGCATTCCATCTAAATATGGCTCTAAATGTTAAGAAGATCAATGAATCTCTCTCAACGAGATAAAAGAAAACAGAAAGAGGCAGCTGGATTCGGACTTAGAGTTGCATCTATTGATAAAACCCATCAAATTAGCCTCGATCAAAAGACAGTCTCCTTCCTTGACAGCTCAGAAGTTGTTATAGGAAGGGTTATCAATTTCTCCAAATTTATTAACTTGCTGAATAGTCGAGTAATCAACAAGTTGGTATGCCTGGTCTGGGAAAGACAACTTTAGCGAGAGTGGTGGGTTGAGTAGTGAAGGAGAAAAACTTAATGATGTAACTTTGGGTTGTTTCTGAGGGTTTTGATGATTATATGATTGAAGGAGATATGTTAGAAATTCTAGATAAACCAACGGGTGGTATGAAGAATCTAAATGCAATTCTTGAAAAACTTAGGGAAAGAGGTAGCCCGATATAGCTCCTTCGACCAACTCATCATCCTTTGTGGGGCGATGAAGAGGAATTGGAAAGAAAGCATTTGTTCTCGTACTTGATAATGTATGGAACGAAGAGGTTGCAAGGTGGAATAGTTTAAAGGAGTGCTCGTTAACAGTTTCTAATCGGAACTATAGGAATTTGATGAGTTGGTTCAATATTTTTATGTTTTAAAAAAGAAAAAACCCAGTGTTATATAATTAAATGTGGATCTAAGAAAATATCAAACTTAATATGCTTAAATTTAGTTATGAGATAAGCTCAAATTACTATAAATCTTGTAAAATATCAAACTCAATATAATTAAATTTTGTCATGAGCTTAGTCTAAGTTAATAAAGATATAGCAAAATACAATTTTCTTTAGGTTTAGTTGCATCCTAAACCTGGTTAATTTTAAAAATCAATGTTAGCATCATAAGATTCTAATTTAAGATTATTGACATGATATTTTCATGTTAAAAATAATCATTTCTTATATCTTTAGATATATAAAATATAAAAAATAATCCTCTTCTTATAAAAGGTTTTATGATGTCTTACTATACTTTCATCTTATTAATGACATATAAAGGAATTTTATTCCTTGTTAATGCTATTTAGAGAAATTGACTTTTCAACAATTTCACTTCATTAAAATAACAAGATTTAGAGAATACAAATATTTCTTGAACCACCTAGATAAAAAAAAAAAATTGTACTCTCCAAACTTATTTACTTGCATGGAAAAGGGTTCAAACTCAATTCATAGACTTGTTGATATCTCAGTTCTCAAAGTATTAATCACACAAAAACAAGAATAAGCACTTTTATTCTTGAAATTTGAAGTTTTTTTCTTTTATTTATTATCATTTCTATTTATAAATATTAATTTTATCATTAAAAGATCTTTAAGTTTCATAAATAAAGACTATTTTATAGGGACCAAAACTTCTACCATTAATTTCATATTTCATGGGCTAAGAAGAAAGAAATATTGACATGAATATTTGATTAACCACTATTTAAATATTAAATAACTTTATTTTGAGCATATTAAATTTTAAAATATCATTAATTAAGGTGGTTTGTATTAAACTTTCAAAAAGCCATTAATCCTATTGTTTTTTTAGATTTATATATATTATTAATAGTAAAAATCAAGACATTTCCAGGATACGTGAAATTAATCTCCATGCCACGACAGAGACTCCTTCACAACTAACCCTTCAATATTTTATTGATTAGGTGTAACTCCTCACACAAGTAAGTAGTGTTGGCTAATCAATAGGTTAAAAATAATATACCTCAATGCCATTCATTTTCTTTCATCTTTTTCTTGCATTTATATTTCACTTTTTTCACTCATACGGTGCAATCCATCGGTAAGCTTAAATGAGTAATACGAGTTGACCAAGACATCTACCTGACATAGATTGTGCAGGACATTAAAAAATAAACAGATCACAGAATAGCAGTACTCTCTGAAGGTATTTACTTATTAGCATAGAAGTATATAGTGAGAGTGAATTGAAATTATATAGTAACTTGTCAATCCAAACACAAAAACAAAATATATTGTTGGGTGCTGAAGATTAAACCACTGAAAATTTACATTTTAACTGAAGTTGATGAGAATATGCTCATATAAATAATAAACCGAAAATTTCTCCATTTTATGGAGCTTGGTAGGATCGATTAAGGAAAGCTGGTGTTTCAATTAATTTTCAAAACTTTCACAAGACAAGAGCACATCGAAACTCTCACACACCCCTTCTACCAGAGCCGGACTTGGTCAAAGATCTTAATCTAACAAGAAACTTTGCCTTCCTCTTCTTCCCGCTAATCTTGCCTGGAGATGAGTCCCAATTCTCCGGTGACGACCCTACCGTTAACACACTCTGTGGTGACCTTGTCAAGGTCACCGTATCTTCATACTCTATAATAGTATTTAGATGTTCAGAGCCACCAGTACTCAAAATTCTGGCTTGCATTGCAGACACCACTTCTGTCATTGCTAAATCAGCATTGCTCCCTCTATTCCGCAGCAATATCTCCCCTATCTGAGCAGGAGTGAGTGCGCCACCTGACCGTATACAGCTCTCTACCACATCAAACAAAGAATGCCACTCTATCCCAAGATAGTTCATGGCCAATGCCTTGAACGCGTGCATACCACAAGGGCCTAAGCTTACATGCACATCCATCCGCCCGCATCTAACCAATGCGGGATCTACTCTGTCTCTATGATTGGTTGTGAACACTATTATCCTCTCCTCCCCGCAACATGACCATAATCCATCTGTGAAGTTGAGGAGACCTGATAAGGTAACACGCCCACTCTCCTCTAACAACTGATAATTGCCTGAACCCGGGTCCTTATTATAACCTGATGATGATGATGATCTTTTCCTTCTTGTAGCTGTAGCAGTAGTGGCCTTTAGCATTCTATCAGCAGTGAGATCAAGGGAACAATCTATGTCCTCAATCACAATTATTGATCTATTGCTAGTTTGGATTAGCAGAGCTCTGAGATCTGAGTTGTCTGTGACTTTGGTGAGTTCAAGATCATACACATCATAGCACAAATAATTAGCCATTGCAGCTATTAGACTTGATTTGCCTGATCCTGGAGGACCATAGAGCAAGTAACCCCTCTTCCATGCCCTCCCAACTCTATGATAATACTCTCTGCCACGAGCAAATGCCTTCAAGTCCTCCATGATCTGCCTCTTCAATTGAGGCTCCAGAGCCAGCGTTTCGAAGGTGGATGGATGGCGGAAAGGAACTGAGACCCAACCTGACTCGTATGAAGCATTGCCATTGTTAGTAAACAGCCTCCTCTCTCTTGATACTCGCTCGAACTCTTCAGCACGCGATGTCACATGCTGGAGATAAGGCGACAGCAGCATATGCCGGTGTCTCTTTGGAAGTCTGAGAGTAAAGCTACGTTTCTCTTCTAATGAGTCCTGTACAGTGTCAACATGGTGTGTCCAACAAAGTGAGTGGCCATTGAAGGAGTCGTGGATGGTGTGATTGGGAGCTATAGTGAAGGAAATGCAATTGGATGACCTGGACCGGGAGAGGGAGAAGCGTCGGCAAGTGGAGGCAGTGGCAGAGGAGTTGACAGAGTTGAGGTAGAGGTTGACATGGCGATAGAGATCATTGATGTCAACACCACAGCAGCCATTAAATTCCGGGATGTCAAAGTATGAATATTGGGAAATGAGGTCTTGGAGGGACTCAATGAGGGAGTGAAGAAGGGAGAGGACTTGTGCAGGTAAGATGTTTTGAAGGACTGTGAGAAGACCTAAGAGTGACCAAAGTTGTGACAATATATCCATATCAGTCTGTCGTGTGTTCTTGGGCTGGTGAATTGTGATTTTGTCTCTGCCTAGCTATTTGTATAGAAGATGACAAATGAGAAGAGAAGGTGGAGAATGTTGATAGATTATGTTGGATTGTGTATGTTTATGGCTTTGGACACTAGCACAGTACAGGTGAGACATATGCAAATGCAACCTTATGGCAAACGCTAAAAAGAAGTGTTGAGGTTTAGAAAAAGCAGCAGCAAAGATAAAGCTAAAGGTGAAGCCCACTATTCTCTTGCTTTTCTTTTGCCATGTAAGCTGTCAAAGCATTGATAGAAGCGCTAGTTAGAGTGGAAAGAAACAAAGAAGAGAACAGAAGAAGCACATAAACCACAGGGCGTGCATGCCAAGAACACGAGAAGATAGACTGCTTTTGCTTTCGTCTCCTTTTTTACCTGTCATCTTTTGTTTTTTCCTTCTCTTAATCTATATGGGGTTCGCATAGGTCAGAGAGTGTTCGTTGGAACAATTATACTCATCAAGTTCAAAGAATGTCTGCAAATGATGATCCATATGTAAGTGGTGCTGTACATAATCCTATTCGTTATTTTTCACATCAATAATGATGATCCATATGTAAGTGGTGCTGTATATAATCCTATTCGCTATTTCTCACATCAATTACACTATTATAGCTCTCGCATTCCATCGATCAATCTGATACTTCTTTTCTTAATTTAAATCTTTATTTTCTCTATGCATGCATGAATGAAATATTGAGAAATATGTTACATGCTTTGAATAACTAAACGACACTATAATATAGAAAGTAGAGCCAAGATTTACCACAGTTAGTGATACGATGCAGATAGACTTGTAGAAATTAAAGGTTGTGATTGCTCGGATGAGGATTTGATGCTATTAAATGGGGATTTAATTCAAGTTGATTATCTAGATAGCCTCACAAATATTTTCAAATACTAGTCGGATAGATGTAGATTTAATAAAAGGATTTATCACAACAAATTAGGCTGGCACTTTAAAATTAAAATAACAAAAGATTTAATTATTAAATTGGATTTAAATTTTTCTGGTGATTCTGCAATTGTTTTATGAGAAACTATTTTATTGCTTATTTGATTCTTGGATCTCCTGTAGTTAGGTCTAACGTTGTTGTTTAGGCTAATTTTGTTATTTTCCTAGGATTTTTCAGATTTATTATTTTTATTTTAGATTCCATTTTAATTTCCTTAATTTATCAAAAATATATAGGAAGTGGAATATTCATTGTAGCACTAATGAGAGTCTACTGCGGGTTGTAATAGTGAATTAATGTTTATGCCTTTCATCAAATCAGCATTTTATCTTTCATTAAATCAATCAAGAAAACTAACTTCAAGGGTAAAATGGTCCTTTTTGTTTTCTAAATAGTAAAATCCTTTCACTACCTTCAAAAAGAAAAAAAATTACGGTTGTTTTCTAAGGGCTTTTTTTAAATTTCACATTTTAATGCACATTAAAGTTACTAAATTACCCTCGCTTTCAAAATTAATGTATTTTTTAGGGCTATTATTTATATTTTTGTCTAGGTTTTTTTCACTATAATTGAATGGGTAAGGGGTTAAATTGGTCTTTTTAGTAATTCAAAAATTATTAAAAAATCAAATCCACCAAGAGCATGTCTCACACGCAGAGGCGCTTAGAAGATTCCATAGAGTTTTAAAGACGTGTGAAGTGTTATTTAATGGTCAAATATTTTTTTCCATAATGTAATTGATTGCTCACAGTGTCTTCTTCCTTCACATGCAGTGCGTATTAGAATATGATGGACGAATTGTTATCAAAGCTATTTTTTTTTTCTTCTCATTTCTTTCTTGTCACTTGAAATTCATGCCTAGCATTGAAAAATTCATGGAAATCTCCTTGGATGAGAATATTTGAGTAATATTCCTCATTTTTTTTAATTTTAATTTGTATCCTTAGCTTTTTTATAATTTTTTATTATTTTTTAATTGCATCATTCAATCTGATTTTTTCATGTTTTGGTTTTTCAAATTTCATTGTGATGTTTTTCATTTATTTTTTTCTTGCTTCTTTTTTAAACTTTTAATTTTTTAATTTCATTTTTTAATCAAAATTTTAATTTTTAAATTTTTTCATATATTTGATCCTCATTCCCTTGATGGTTTTTTTTTATTTTTTTTTTGTAAAATTGATTTTTTTTTAATTTAGTCTTTTCATCCAAAACTAATTTTTTAATTTTTTAAAGATATTTTTTTGTGATAGAATGTTTTCAATCTCAACCTTTGGCATTTAATTTATTAAAATTTAGGCTTTGTGATTTTTTTAGATTTGAAGTTTTTATTCAAACAATCCTGGTCACGGGTTCACACTGTTTTTTTACTTATTTTGTTTTTTTATCTCATTACTCTTTGTTGATTATTTTTTAAAAATAGACTTTATAGTTTTTTTTTTTATTTTTTATAAAATTATTTCAATCTCATAATCTGACTCATAAACTTAATGAATTAATATGGATGGACTCACATTGTTTTCCTTTTAATTATTGTTTTTGTGTGATTCAGCTAGCAAAAAAGATACACCTGGTTGAACAATAAAAAGAAATTAGGATTATATTATAAAAATTGATGTTACCACTTTATATACCCTTTATATTCATAAAATTATCTTTAAAGATAATGAATAGAAATTCTTTAAAAATCCTAGAAATAAAATTCACATGAAGGGAACTTGGAAAGGTGTAGAAATTTTATGTTAATATGGTCAAAATTATAAAGATGAATTTGGATGGTACACTTGCATAAAAAAGAGTATACTAAATCTTACATAATCATTATGTCAATTTTCAGTTTTTTTATTTTATTTTAAATTTTCTCTATTTATCAATATTAGTTTTATTATTCAATGAATTTTTAAATAAATGTATGATCCAATTACAAGATGGGAAAAATAATCACTTTCATATTGGAAATGTACATAGTTAATACCAAAATAAAAGAATTGTTGAACAAATTAGTTTACCTTTATTATCATTTACTCTTTTTTTTTATAAGACGTTGTTCAAAAAAATTAAAACAGATAATATGTTATTCGCCCCAACTACAATTAAAAAAATAAAAGCTGAAGCAAGTAGTCCTAACAAAATGGGTTAGGTAGCCGACTTACCTAACAACAATTAATTTTTTTATAATTTTTTTTAAAAATTATTTATATTTAAAATAATACATATTCTCTCTTTTATTTCATTGATATACTATCTTTCAAATGAAAAACTTTTTGTAGTTAATTTTTATGTATTTAGTTTTTGAAGAGATTATTTAAATTCATCTATAATTTTTTTTATGTTTTATATAAATAAAGATATTTTTTGGATAATATTTATAATATGTATTACCTTACATAATATTTTTTTTTATTCAACCAATTTCATGTGTATTTGTTTATATTATCATTTGATTGAATAAGAATATGATTTTGACAAACAAAGTCTTTCAACACAAATAAGTGAAAGGCACGTATTAAAATGTCAAATATTTTGTTCTATATATATTTATCAGTTTTTTGTTTTTATCTTTAATTATTGTTAATGATTTTATTATTATTATTTTTGATACATATGGTTTTTAATTTATTTAATTATATGTAAGCATAAGTTTTCTGATTTACATTTATAATTTTTATATTAAAGTACATGTTGGAAAATTCTACATGCATAATTTTTTATAAAAAAATATTTTACTTATAACGTAATGCATGTTAAATAGCTAATTCTATCTATAATAAACATTAAAAGTGGGCGGGAGGGTTTTAGAATTTAACATATAACAAGAGTAGCATTGAGATTGACATTAATAATCTAATAGCAATATTGATTTTAAGTTTATACATTAAAATATTTCATTTTGGTCTCTAAAGAATTGATTTTTTTATCATTTTATTTTTTTATTTTTTCTTTGAGCTTATGTAAAAAAATATTGATTGATACAAATCATATCTAATTTTTTTTACTCATAGCTTTATAAATTGTCTTATTTGTATTTTTATTCCCATTTAAGAAATGATACATTAGCATCCATACATTATTGAGTTTTCACATTTACCCTTCACTTTTCTCAATTTTAGTATGTCTTTTCAATTTAATCTCTAAAATTATTTCTTTACAAGTTTTCATATTTAATTTTTTTATGTTTTATTAATTAATCTTTCATAATCAATTAAAATCATTGCTTTTAATTTAAGAAAAATCCTTTACTAGTATGATTATTGTCATAACCCAATTCTGGGTTATTTCCTAAAAATCACTATTTTTTAATAAAAATAAAAAAAATAAAACAAAGACTGGCAATATGGAGAAAGCAGAACAAGAAGGACTACAAAAATAGAAAAAAAATCAAGCTGCAATTTTGAAGAAAATTCAAGATCTAAGTGTATCTCATTATGCCCAAGAATGGAGAAGAAAATACAAACTGAAGGTTAAATTAAATTATTATTAGATGAATTTGCATAAAAATTAAGTTTAAAGGCATAATTAAATTTTTATTAGGCCAGTTTGATTTAATCATGGGCCAAATTGAATTTTAATTATATTTAAGTATTAATTTGGGTCCAATTGAATGATTTAATTAAGCGCAAGGACTTAATTATACTTTAAATGGGTCAAATCAATTTTATTTGGGGCATAATTGGTGAAACATTAAGTTTAGGAGCCTAATTTGGGCTTAATTGAGAAGATTGAAATTTTAAGAGATCAAATTTAATTTTTACCAAGTTAATTGATTGAAATAAAGGGTTAAATTACAAGCAAATTGAAGTTTTAGGGTAAATTAGAAGTTAATTAAAGAAATTCACAGTCAAGGACCAATTTACAAAAGACGTTGGACTATAGAGCCTAATTGACAAAAGTCGAGGGTTAGATTGAAAAAATTAAAAGTTTAATGGTCAATTA